TTACTTTGCTGATCAAAATCTTTTGTTCCCTTCAATTTTGATCTATCTAAATTACCAATATACTACAGCAAAAAACAAGCACATAATTACACAACATTCTTTCACTCCTACAAATATCTTTTTGATCAGCACATCATAATTCTTTCCACTAATTTTTTTTTTTTTGAAATTTAATCATGGCAAAAGACAAAAAAAAAATCGACCAAACTCTAAAAAAAAAACTCTGTCTTTGGAGCCTTTTACAACAATGCTTTGTAACTTTTCAGCACTCTTAATCACTTGCCTTCTTGACGCTAATACCCTTCCCTCCTTTGTCATGCCAAAAAAATCCTTATCTCCAGTTACATGAATATTATTGTGAAATAAGTGTATCGTCCAGAAAAAAAAAAAAAAACTGAAGGCATGCTAAACCAAACTTTCAAGCCCCAACACTAATCATCAAACTGAAAAAAAAAAAAGCAAGCAGCAAAAACGAAAACCTAAAGCAACAGCCAGACGTTATCAAATCAAAATTATATTTTAATTACAACTTTTACAGGTATCAGTGCGTTCAGAATCATATACAGCCTAGAACTAATTAAAAATCAGAAGACGTCACATGGCGCGATACGACTCAGATTACAATAACGACTGATAGAGAAACGAAACGAAACGAAACGAAAACAAAACAACTAACTGATATTTCCTGTTAAAACTTAAAACTGTTCATTTTTTACTATTTTAGTACAAACATTAAAATTGACTATTTTTCTAGGAATCCATTTAACAATCAGACAACGAAAACTGCAAAAAAAAAAGTCGGCCAATTTGTTTTTTCTTATTTCCTTCTGTCTTCAGTCGTTGTCCCTCTTTCCTCCTCCTTCAATCACCTTTGTCACTTTCTTTCTTTCCTTTTCTTCTAGATTCCAAAAACTACATGATCATCGTTTATTTTGACGCCAAAAAAAAAAAACTAAAAAAAAACTTTATTCTACAAAAATGCAAATAAATTTGACCAAAACTGGCATATTTTTTCTTTTTTTTTTTTTCTTTTTCCCTAGTGAAACAACTGAAGAATAACACTAGGAAGAAAAAGGTCAGTAGAATTTAACGAAAAAAAGAAAAAACAGAAAACGAAAAAAAACGAAACCAGTAAAAAAAAAAAACAACAAACAACGACAACAGCGTTAGTAGCAAAACAGTAACAGCAACAAAGAATTATGAAATTATAGAAAATCAAATATAAAAAACTTCATTTCTTTCTTTCTTCTCTCAAATCTTCAGTGAGCAAACCGGTATGCAACATTTAGGCTTATACTCATTCAAGCAAAATTTCTCCTTTCCCTTCCTCGTTCGCTATTCCTCTATCTGCTCGCTACTCCCAGTGGGAGGAAAAAATGCAAACATTACAGGAAAAAACTGTTGAAATGGTGTCAACATTACCCTCCTCAGTAAAGTTCATTCAAGCAAAAAACTTCAACAGAGTTGTTGAGTCTTTAACAGTTTGCAGGTATAATTGGAAATAAATCATCTGTGCCTGCAATAACAAATAAAAGATTAACCAGACTTAAAAAACACCTTATTCAATTAATTACGTCAAAGATTATTGTAATAATTGTCATTTCCTATTTTTAAACCATTCCAAAATAAAACCACACTAAACACCACTAAAAAACATATTTAAAATTCTTTTTCATCATCCAATTTCTTTCTTTCTTTCCGTAATCAAAAATAACCATTAATAAACAATGAAAAATAAAAAAAAAAAAGACGGGAAAGAGTGTGAAAGAACAATTAAAAATAGGAGAAGAAAAATATATTTATAATTTATCTGTAAGTTTAGACTATAATTGAGAAGTTTCATTCAAGCTCTCATTATTGTCTTTGGTCAGTCAGTTACAGCATAAAATTGTTAGACAATATAATAGCTGAAACAAACATCTAAATATCCAAACTATTGTCAACATCTGTCTTCTCTTTTCCATTCTTCTTCCTCCCTCTAAACACAGCAATATTCACTGTTTTATCTTCCACAATTTCCCGAAAATATTTCCCAATCTGATCTTTGAGCAACAGAGTTCTTGCTTAAAATTTAACAACGACCACAACGGCAGCAACACATTTTCAAGTGTTATCTCCTCCCGTCTTCTCATCCTTACCCGTTGCCTCCAAATAAACGGCATAAATCAACCATGAAAGCACGAGAAGCACAGGCACTTTGCATGCTGAAATAAAATGGAAAAAATGGGAACAAATAGTCTTACTGCTGTACTTCTGCTATCTCAACAACAGGAACAGATGTAGTTTTTAACTATTTTTTAAAAATCTTTTTCAAAGAGTCTCAACCAAAAAAACTTGATATCGGTCCACTCTGGAAACCTTTAAACAGTGGCCACCATAACGCTGAGAAACATCAATAATCAAAAACTGGTCATAAGCGGCTAAACAGAAGAAAAAGTTTTTTTTGTGGGAACGAATACGAACATCGACACCAATGATAAAGCCCCGCATAAGACTTAGCAGGAGAAATAACCTCAAAAATACACCAGTTTTTTATGCCTCCTCTCTTCTTTCTTTTGAAAATAATCAGAATTCTTTTTTCCTTTTATACCCTTTCTAATTCTGCTCCTTCCCGTCTTGCTCCATCTTCATCTTTTCCTTCTTCTCCTTTCCTTTGTTCATTCCAATAACCACAACCGTCAGCAGTAACAGAACCTCTTGATCGTATTTAATTGCAACCTCTTTTTCTGGCAAAACTACAAAGACGGAATGATACAGAAAAACGATGATTCAGCAGCACCTTTCTCTTCATCACCCCCTTCCAGCAGTGCTACATGCAATATCAGCATTTCCCCCGCCATCATCACCGCCAGTGTTGTCGCCGTCATCATCTTCATCTTCATCTTCATCATCACCAACACCATCTTTATCTTCATGCACTTCTCGTATACTGCTTGAACGGCAGCATTCCATCTCTTACCAATTTTTCCATACTGAGATTCTTTGCATTTGTTCCCTATACTCTGGAACTACAAAAAAACCAAATGCAAAGCTGTTGTGGGTAGGAAATAAAAAAGAGAGAAAATGCTATAGAAATACAGCAGAAAAAAGACCTTGTACGACAAGGTAAGAGTGTGCCGATGAAAAAGCGCGAGTTTTTTTTTATTCCTGAGCCAAAAACTGACGACGATGCAAATGTACTGCATTAACAAACGTTTGCTCATATCATAACCTCTCCATAGGGGTTCCAGACATTTCTTCTCTTTTTTTATTTTCTAACAATTTTTCTTTTCAAGGTCCTGAAGACAACTCTATACTACAGTTTTTTCTTAAAAATGTCAGCGTACATATGTCGTTTAATTGATGTTAATTGAAACAATGAAAAATATCTTTTACCTTTGAAAAGGCATTGCTTCTACAACTGCCGGATTTGTACATCCACCATAACCATACATGTACACACACAAAAAAAAAAAAAAACATGCATACATGCATACACTAAACACGGTACAGTCCATCAGATCAATGCCAAACATCTATTGTGCAATCGTACTATTGTACAAATGGAAGGAAAAGAAGAAAAAAAGAAGAGCAGAAATTTGTTGAGGGCCTAAATTTGGCTTCCGTTTTATGAAACAACCAAATAAGCGAGCAATAAAATACCACGAATAGGATGAAGAAGACGAAATAAAAAAAAAAATGCAAGACGAAGCAAGATTTTTTGCTGTTGCTGTTGGTTGGTTGATAATTTGGTAATATTTGATTGCAAAATAGAATCAGCACTAGCAGAAAATGGCAGGCAAAGACAAGTTTGGTATTTCTCCCCTTCTCTTCCCTTTAGCCCCTTAGCTTCTTCAGTTTTTTAGACCTTATATCATAGTCTTATAGAAATCAATTGAAAATTATTTCTATTCGTTGTTGCCATAAATCACCAAATAAAAATTTCAGAGAAAAAAAAATTCTTCTTTACAACTGAAATACTGATGTTAAATTTTTTTTTTTAAATGCATTACATAATATGACTTTTTTTTTTTTTTTTTTTTTTTTTTTTTTTTT